GCACCTTGTTATCTCAGATTCTCCAGCATCTGCAGTTCCTACTATCCCTCATCACTCTATGGATCATTTTTGATATCAGTTTTGTAATATGCACATCACTACCCACTTTCCAGGGTGATATCAAAATATTTTAATTTTAAGGGTATCGCACGTCAAAATTTAACACAGAAAAGTGGCTGAGCAAGTCCTGGGTGATTAAAGCCACATTCTTCAGTGTTAGCTCCTGATCTCTATAAAGTAAACAGCTGAAATCAGATATACTGTCATCAATTCTTTCACAACAGTCATGATATAGCATATCAGTTGCATCATGAAGCACCGCTTCAGTTGAGTCATTTGACATAACACAATTCAGGATTCTGATTACAGCTTAATCCTGCAGTGTGGTATCATCATGGAGGTCCTTAAAAAAAGCAGCCAATCACATCAAGAAGACTAGTAAAGGAAGTCAGAAAAAGAGAGCCAAGCTATATCGAGAGATCCGTTATCGTTCTCATGGGAACATGTTGGGAGAGGGGCAAATCTTACATTTGCATTTTTAACCTAAATATTTCTTTAAATCACTGACAATTAAAAATAATGCAGTCCCAGCAATTCTTCAGACCATGAAGTTGGAGCTGATGAGTTTGGTCAGTCAATTAGATATTTAAAATGCAGATTTCTCCCAGATTGAAAGGTTTGTAATCAACAAATTTTACTGAGAATTTCCAGTACAGTAAATTAGAATATAATGATATGTTAAACAAATATAATAATATTTATTTATTCTGCAATCAATCCAAAACTGCTTTTACAATTCACTTTAAACATACAGATCACTACACTGGCAGCGACTGCATCACATATCCTATGCATAGCGACACCCAAGTAAGAATTGGCCATCTGCCACTAGCATTGCATATTGCATATTGTGAGCAGCTAATTAAAAAAACTGAATTGATATGGGGATTTATGGTCACATACAAACAAATGAAATATTTGTTATTTTTCATTAGAAGCTAAAATTAGAGGTCAAGTTCCTACTAATGTTTCATTAATAAAATCAACCACTTTTTTTGTTGCTGTGTACAAAACTCTGATTCTTATGTTAAATAAGTATGCAGACCGTCTGAAACCACTTACCCAATGTGCAATTAATTATTAAAGCCAGTATTAACAAATAGAGAATACTGTGATTAGACATTCAAATTAAAATGTTAAAGTTCATACAAAGTAGTTATGTAAATATTATTTTTAGTTTCTCAGCCAGATGATCTTTCTTCCTGTATCAGCCCATACTTGAAGCAGCACGCTGCATGATTGTAGATGTACCCAGCTGAGGTCAGTTTCAGCTTCTCTCAATGTCTACAATTACTGTGAGGGAAATTGGACATGAAATGTGACTCAGAACACGACTTACTTTTTAACCAGAGATAGTAAGAACTGCCGATACTGGAGTTAGAGATAACACAGTGTGGAGCTGGAGGAGCACAGCAGGCCAGGCAGCATCACAGGAGCAGGAAAGTTGACGTTTCGGGTCAGGATCGTTCTTCAGAAATGGTCCCTTTCCTGTTCCTCTGATGTTGCCTGGCCTGCTGTGCTCCTCCAGCTCCACACTTGTGTTAGCTCTTATTTTTTAACCATTTATTTCAACGAGAGTTTGCTGAGATCAACTGTAGTGTTTCTATTGCACTACCTCTGAACAGCACAGCCAGTTCCCCAAAGACCTGCAATTGTACCTGGAACATTCTTAGATTACATGGATTAATGGTTTTACTCACAAGCTATTTGTGAATTAATTTCTTAGAATTTCCTATTTATTTTAGAGCCACACAAAATGAGATGGTGAAACAGAAACACAAAATAATAAATTGTCGTTCTATTCACCCAAAAGCTACCAATGCAAAATACAGAAAAGAAAGGATTCATAAACTCCTTAAAAGTTTTGACAATTTTTTAAAAATAAGCCAATTTGAGAACTTAAAGTTACATGAAATTAACTATACTTTTTTTAAACTCTGCTCCACCATGATTAATGAAGTAAGCAAGAATATTCTTTAACATTTTCTACAAGTTCCAGTTCTGAACATTATATCAAAATATGATGAACATTAATACATCCGTCCTCTGTGAAATTTGTTTTCTTTATTTATTAATGGGATGAGGGTGTCGCTGTCTAGACAGCATTTATTGTCCATCTCTGAATGTCCAGAGGGCAGTTAAGAGTCAACCACATTGCTGTGGGTCTGGAGTCACATGTAGGCCAGACTGGGTAAGGATGGCAGTTTCCTTCCCTAAAGGACGTAAGTGAATCAGGTGGGTTTTTTCCGACAATCGGCAATGGATTCATGGTCATCATTAGATTCTTAATTCCAGATATTTTATTGAATTCAAATTCCACTATCTGCCATGGCGGGATTTTAACCCGGGTCCCCAGTATATTATCCGGGTCTCTGGATTAACAGCCCAGCAATAATACCACTGGGCCATAACACCAGCAATCTTAAATGTCTGAAATATAAGAAGCTGTTAAAATATTTAATATAACCCACACTGACCAAACAATATTTTGCAAGCTTTTTTAAAGTTTTGTTTTCCCTTTCTCATTCCATTCCTCTGTTCAAGAATGTAATCTACATTACAAGAACCACATGTCTGACCTGCAATATGTTACAGGTTGTTTCTTTTTCAATAGCTCTTCCTGACAAATGGGACAGACGTCTTCTGGATCAATTTCCTTCTGACATACAGCACCAACCACTTCTTCGTCTTTTTGCTTTTTCTTAGATTTGTCAGGGAGTGGCTGTGGTGGCTGCTCTACATGAAGACTGTCCAACAATATTTCAATTTCTCGGTCCACAAGACCAAGTTGGAAAGAATCTGAAAGGAGAAGAGACCCAAAAAGTGCATACTCACTTCAACACTTACGAAACTATCTTAAAACTGTAATTACTTTTAAAGCAGCATTTATAATTAGACCTTGTACATGCAATTATAAAATCAATGCAATACGCTTACATTGTCAGATCACCATTTTATGTTAAGATAAAGCATAAATCTACAGTTAAATAATAAATAGAATCAATTGTTAAAATGGTTTACTATCCTTTCAATTAGTCTTCCCTACTGACTTATGTTGAAGGACTGTCCTCCAGGATCTGGTTGGTTCCTTATATCCCAATTAACTTACAATTTTACACATGTGAAGTTGATATCGAGTGTTAGTAAGTTATTCAATGATATGTTGTATCATGACAGAACCTGATGCTTTGCTTGCAAAATAATTATTCAAACCCTCTTTCTAGCAGAATGATGAACATTGATTCGTTAATTTTTCCTTCCTAACCTAATTACTGTACTCAGCTGTTTCATTTTCAGTAACCAAACTAGCTTAGTCCTGAAACTTATCATTTGTTTAGCTCTGCTACTTAATGCAATTACCAAAGGAACAAATAGGGTATCTGTATGAACTTATTTTAAACTTCTTTTCATTTGTATTATTTTGTAAATTGCATGAAAAAGGGAATGCCACCAATAGTTTTCAATGGACTAAATCAATGCAATTTAGAACATTGGGGGCTTAATTCAGGAGACCATAAAGGAAATATCACGGTACAATGCAAGTTGTGATTTTCTTGTATAGCTAGTAAACTGCAGAACCCAAAAGGAGGGGGAGTTTTCCAGCCAGGTGAAGGCACATTCTAGGTGCAAATGCTGGAGCATAGCATTGTGTCAGGATCTTAATGCCATCTTGCCCTCTTGTGCCTTTTCCTGTGGAGTGTTGTTAGCCCAGTGGGGGAGGGATTGAGTGTTGTGGGATGATAGTGGTGGTGACTAAAAAAAGCCAATAATTTAGCCTTTTAACATGGATTCCTTCTTTCCCAGCAGCACATGGTTTTTATGCTATGTCTGCCCAGCCAAGTGACTGAAGGAAGTACATAGTGGCAGAGCCTGCTCAATGAAAACTAAGAAGCTTTGATCAGTTACACTGAACTCTCCAGTCATGGTCATCAAGATACTAATGTTATTAAAATCTTCAATCTATAACTGAAGAACTGAATTATTAAACTTACATTCATGACCACGTGGTAGTCTAAACTTCTTTAACAAAATCCTGATTGAAAAACAAAATCAGTTAACATAAATCCAAAAATACCAAAATATCAAAGTAACTAGAGTCACTGTTTTAAAGTTGTCTTCTCTTTTGTATTTTGAACATCTTAATTCCTCTCTGGGGAATGATTTCAGGTGTTCATCGCACCTAGTACTTTGCTCACCTGCCCACTATTCATGTGTGAGTCTTAATAATGAGTCTTGGCATCTAACGACAGTGGGCAATACTTGCTCTGTGTGTGGGGGCCCTCTTGTGGTGCAGTGTTCAGGCCCTTCCCCATGACCAGGCGGCCTGGGTTCAAGTCCCACCTTCTTCAGATGTGTGTAATAACATCTCCGAAAGGGGTCGATTAGAAAAATAGATTTTTTTTCATGATGCTCAACTAGGAAGAGAAACAAAGGCTAATTTAGCTTTTATTAAACCCCTGGGCACTGAGAGTAACCAAAGCATCCTATTCTGATCTCAGCTGAAATCAGCCATCTGAACAACAAAAAAAAACACACCTGGACATAAGAAATAGGAAATGAATTCACCATATGGCCTTTGTGCCTGCTCCAACATTCAATATGATCTTGGCTGATCTTCTCTCTTAACTTCACTTTTCTACCTTATCCTCATATCCCTTGACTTCCCCAATGAACAAAAATGTCTAACTCAATTTTAAATATCCTCAATGCTGGAGCATGCACAACTCTGGGTATGACAATTCCAAAGATTCATGACCGTCTGACTGAAGAGGTTACTGGCTATTGAACTATTCACTGGATAAACTTCCAAAATATGAGCAATATTTTCTCACACTTGATGATGTTTTCATGAAATGTATTAATTATATTTTGACAGCTTAGGTTTGTGAAAAGGGAATTGCAAAGGGAGTGTTCAGAATACTTCCCTTCATTGAATTGTCATTATGATCTAATTACTTAAGATATTTGATATGCTACCAGCTTGTGCAATAGAAACTCATCCCAAATATCACCCCCCACCTTCAACAGCAGTGATTCAGATAACATCGGCCACATGACTAATGGCCTCTTTTTGGGAAAGAACACTGTTTGATATCCTTTCCTTTTCTAAATGCAGATTGGGAGGTGCCTACGCTGGGAAAGTTCAGTAATGGCCAAATACATATCAGTATGCAATTAGTGCTGAATTTTCATGGCTCAGCAACTTTTCAATTAACATCCAGGAAGTGGAAAATATGCTGATCAGCCACTTGTGCTGCTGACATCTGCTGAGCAGGTCCCCAATGAGATAAAGGCCCAGAATGACAGATCTTCTTGTGGTAAAACCCAGCAAAGCAGTTTCTATTGAAAGCACTTCAGCCTTCCATTTTGTCTTTAATTATAATGCAAATGTGTGGAATTTATACAATTCTTTAAATTAAATAGTTTCAAATAAATATATATTTCTGGAGGTACAGCGAGAACCAATTGTGCTCCCTCGGCATATTGAATTCTCCTAGAATATGATCAGAACTTGTGGCTTTCTTATCACTTCAAGTAAAACTGTTAGAATTAAAGGCAGATATACTTTCCATTCAACAAAGCAAACTCCAGAACAATGCCAAAATCTCAGTCAATTTTTCCCCAGGTAAGACAAAAGCAACTCTTAGCTACGGACATATTTCTTCTTCTTATGTTATCACAAGATAGTAGAATGCTTGCATTTCAAGCTACAGTTGGCATGCATAATATAGTTGAGGATTGTAATTAAATTCTTGAGTGGCCATAACTATGTAAGTAATTTCTTTCACCTTTCAATAGTTAAAAGTTAACTACAATTTTCCTCAAAATACCAATCCCACTGCCAGTAAGAGTTGAGCTTTTCTGAAGATGCTATGGGCAAATCAATTTGCCATTGTATTGAAGAATATTAAAAGCTAGACTCCTAACAGGGAGCTGAAATCATCTAAATTACAGGCAGCAGCTTAATCTACTATCTACTGAAAACTCGAAGTAGCAGTGATACTGGTATAGCCTTTCTTTTAGATGCTTTTGAAAACTGTTTTGTGAATCAAACACCATGCAAGAAAATTAATTCACCAGCAGATATGTTTGCAGAGGTCCTTCTCTTTGAGAAATGTGGAACAGTTGCAGGTGTGAATGTTTCCTATATTCACCTTCCAGGAAACAGAAATAATTGAGATTAATGTAAATCTATATTTCTACACATATTCAAAACCATGTCTGTTCACATACAGGTTTCACAAGTAGATTTCTTTCTTTTTTATTTCTATAGGTGGAAATATCACTGTTACTGCCACCCGACTTTTATTGCTCAAGAAAAAATCTGAGAGTTAGTTCTAAATGAAAAAAACTATGTTCTCTAATTAAACACATAATTTATTCTCCTTTATAGGTTCAATCACCAGTTTAGTGTCTTGACTACTTTTTCATGTATATACACTAGGTTTCCCAACTTCGACAGTTCTTATAGACTTCAGACTTTAAAGATAGAACATAGAAACATACAGCACAGGAACAGGCTCTGTGCCCCACCATTCTGCGCTGACCATGTCGCTATTCTAAACTGATCCCATCTACCTGCACATGGTCCATATCCCACTGAACCCTTACTTTATTTTATTTAACCTAGTAGGATGACAAAGAGAAAGTCACTCTAACCTGCAGTAGTTGAGGTGAATAATGCAAGTGAATTTGAGGGGAATGTTGATAATTACATGATCCCGGAAGGCATAAAGAGATTTGCCAATTAGATGAAATGAAGTAAGTTGAGAGGAGACTAGTCTGAAGCATAAATGGGGGGGTCATGTTTGAGCTTTAACATCCTACTTAATTCTTTCCAAATTCTCTCTCTACTGCCAGTCCCAAGTCTTTGCAAATTCAAGGTCATTAATTCACCCATATTTATAAAACACAAAGGACAAAAATGTTAAGTACTCCAAAACAATAAAAAATATGTTCCACTTAAATTCACTCACTGTGAAGGGTGATACTCACTTCACAGACGTAACGCACTAAATAAAATAGAATTCTTCACCAGCTGGCAGCACGGATGGGCTCTCTTCGTTAAATCTGTCCAAGGTTTATTCTATTAACTGCATTTGATTGGTTGCCCTCATCTGAATCATTTCAACAATTGGTCAGCACTGTATAAGCAATGGCAAACAACTCACCGAAGACAGAAGGTATGGCAAATCTGAGGAGCTGAGCTGAAAATCATTATATAATGTGTAGAAGTGGGCAAAATTCCAAATAACAAGGGTCATAGGAGAGACTGAAAGAGGATGCATTAAAGTCAGTGTCACAACTGTTTGCCACATTTTCTGTGCAGCATACAGGAGACCTATATGCTGCACAGAAAATCTCTGTGAAAAGCATGAATAATAATTTGGGGAATGGAAATAGAATGAAATAGCCAATCTATCTTTAGTCCCAGTACCTTAACATTGGAAATGCACCTGCAAAGGCAAGGTATAATACTGAACCTTGAGAAAGATTTTTGCATTGGTAATTATTGGCATTGGTAAACATGGAAATTAAACATTACTTTGCTTCATTTTTCTGCTTTTTCATATAAGTAATGAAAACAACAAATGACCAAAATATCAAAGCTGAGGAATACTGAAAAAATTCATCAGTAAAAATTAGATAAGGAACCAGTTCCAAATAAAAAACAGAAGTCTTATTAAATTTTGTGTACTTACTTTAAAATATTTAGATATACCTTCTTCTTTAAGAAGAAATCCAACTGGACCTAATTCTCTCAAAATGTATATTGTGGTGTTCAATGCCTGATCTTGATGACAACTAACTAAATCAGTTGCAGTTCTTCTCAGTAGAACTGCTCGTGCCATGTTGAGAAGTTTCAGGTAACTTCCAGTGCCTGAAGAAAATCAAACAAACAGTGAACTAATACACCACATTCTCATAATATCAATGAATTCTTTTCAACTTACAGCAAAGATTAATCAGAATAGTTTACTAAACTGTATTAATCAAATTGTAATGGTTTATCCTTGAATGGTGGCATAAGTTTTACAAATTTCTACAGTTACTTCTTGGAGTTCAAAGTTGTCAGTCATTCCAAAAGTCTTATTTTTATTTTTATATTGTCTTACATCTAAATGCAGAGTAGTGTAAGCTTGGGATATACCTCTTGTAGCATGCTAGCATGAATCACTGACATTTTTTTTGTTTCAAGAAGGCCACTACTGTCCCAGTACCTAAGAACGCACATACAATGTGCCTTAATGATTACTGCTCAGTGGCTCTGTTAAGAAATCATGAGCTGTCTTATTTTGTAATAAGGTAAACATGCAGTATAGCAGTTGTGATCAGGTTTATTAAATTCAATTTGTGCAAATTATTTTTGCATAAAGCACAAAATTAAATTAGAATATATCATACTTCTCAAATAAGGGTTTTAAACGACATAACTTCCGATTGTCCAAAACATTTTTACCCTCTTGCTCTATGAAAGTTTGTTAGCATTTTGAATCTGGTCCAATTTTAAAGACTTGTTCCTTGCATAAAATCTCAATACTCTATGCCTTTGAAACTGTAATAGTTGCTCTCCAGAGATGTGTAAATAAACCTATAGAGCCAATGTGCCAAGATCATAGACATTGCATTATTTTCAATGGCATATAGTATATTTCATGAGCATATAGTAGTCAAACTTAACCAAAAATACTACATCCCTCAAGTTTCTGATTCTAACCATTATATTACAGCTGAGCCCCGATTTTAAATTCATTTTTACACGAGCATCTGCTGTGGTGGTTTCACTAGTCTACCAGAATGTGATCTTAGTTTCTTTGGAAAAGATCAAGGAATTTGAATCCACTGTGTGGTCTCTTAGACTTTGCTGGGTAAATGGGCAGAAAGGAAACTGACAGATAACTTCTGTTCTGCAATCAGGCCATCATTCAGATCTCTCGATGAACGCAGTATCTTTGATCTGTAAATGACTGCTTAGACGGTGTAGAAGGTTGCTTCCCTGTAGAAACCAGTGCATGTCTGTTTCACCAATCTGTACCATTTTCAGTCTGATTAATACAGGACCATGAATGTAGGGCTTGTTCTACCATAGAGTTATAGAGATGTACAGCATGGAAACAGACCCTTTGGTCCAACTTGTCCATGCCCACCAGATACCCTAAATTAATTTAGTCCCATTTGCCAGCATTTGGCCCATATCTCTCAAAACATTTCCTATTCATATATCCATCCAGATGCCTTTTAAGTGGTGTGATTGTACTAGCCTCCACTATTTCCTCTGGCAGTTCATTCTTCACATGCACTACCCTCTGTGTGAGAAAAGTTGCTCCTTAGGTCCTTTTAAATCTTTCCCCTCTCACTTTAAACATAAGACCTCGCGTCTTGGCTTCCCCTAGCCTGGGGATAAGATCATGACTATTCACCCTATCCATGCCTCTCATGATTAAATAAAACTGAGGGTCACCCCTCAGCCTCTGACGCTCCAGGGAAAATAGCCCCAGCCTATTAAGCCTCTCCCTTTAGCTCAAACTCTTTAACCCTGGCAATCTCCTTGTAAATCTTTTCTGAATGCTTTCAAGTTTAACAATATCTTTCCTATAGCAGGGAAATCAGGATTGAATGCAGTATTCCAAAAGTGGCCTAACCAATGTCCTATACATCAGCATGACCTCTCAACTCCTATACTCACTGACCAATAAAGGCAAGCATAACATATGCCTTCTTCACTACCCTGTCTATCTATGACTCCATTTTCAAGGAACTGTGAATGTGCACTCCAAAGTCTGAGATAACAAGGTGTAGAGCTGGATGAACACAGCAGGCCAAGAGCATCATAGGAGCAGGAAGGCTGACGTTTCAGGCCTAGACCCTTCATCAGAAATGGGGTTTGTCCGGAGGGAGGAGGGTAACTTCTTCAGGGTAGGCGATGAAGGGTCTAGGCCCGAAACGTCAGCCTTCCTGCTCCTATGATGCTGCTTGGCCTGCTGTGTTCATCCAGCTCTATACCTTGTTATCTCAGATTTTTCAACATCTGCAGTTCCTACTATCTCTGACTCCAAAGTCTCTTTGTTCGGCAACATTCCCCAGGACCTCACCACAAAGTATATAAGTCCTGCCTTGATTTGCCCTACCACAATGTAGCACGTCACTTTTATTTAGATTAAACTTCATCTGCCACTCCTCAGCCCATCAGATCAAGGTCCCGTTGTACTTGAGGTAACCTTCTTTGCAGTTCACTACACCACCAATTTTGGTGTCATCTGCAAACTTACTAACTATTCCTCCTATATTCACATCCAAGTTATTTATATAAATGACAAAAAGCAGTGGACCAAGCACTGACCCTTGTGGCACACTTCTGGTCATAGGTCTCCTGAAAAGCAACCCTCCACCACCACCCTCTGTCTCTTACCTTCATCTAAGTTCTGTATCAAAATGGTTAGTTCTCCCTGTATTCCACGTGATCTAACCACTTGTCCAAAATGAGCTTGGTCTTGAACTGAAACTCACTTATCTGTCGCAGGTCTGTGGTAGGTTGTATGCTTTGTGACATTTGTCATAGCAATAACATATACTCTTTTGCTTGTACCTTTTCCTAAATTTTGTACCGTTGTCATCTCGTCCTTGTGGCATTGTTCAATTCAGGCATTCAAAAGGGAATTAGATGGTTATTTGTAAAGGAACAATATGCAAGGTGATAGGGAGAAGGCATCTAGTGCAATACTCAGAGTGTAAGTGTTACCTGATGGGTTGGCCTCCTTCTGTGCTAGAATATTCCTGTCAAATTCCGAGATTCTGCGTCAGTGTATATGGAAGAGCAGTGAGTTGATTTCTTAGTCTTTTTCTGCATGAGGTATTCAAGTAGAGTCATAGAGATATACAGCATGGAATCAGATCCTTCGATCCAACGCGTCCATGCCGACCAGATATCCTATATAAATCTAGTCCCATTTACCAGCATTTGGCCCATGTCCCTCTAAATTCTTCCTATTCATACACCGGTCCAGATGCCTTTTAAATGTTTTAATTGTACCAGCCTCCACCACTTTCTCTGGCAGCTCATTTCATATACGCACCACCCTCTGCGTGAAAAAAGTTGCTCCTTGGGTCTCTTTTATATCTTTCCCCTCTCACCTTAAATGTTTGCTCTCTAGCTTTGGACTCCCCACACTGGGGAAAAGCCCTTGCCTATTTACCCTATCCTTGCCCTTCATGATTTTATAAATCTCTATTAGGTCACCCCTCAGACTCCGATGCTCCAGGGAAAATAGCCCCAGCCGATTCAGCCTCTCCCTGCAGCTCAAACCCTCCAACCCTGGCAACATAAATGCTTTATCTTTAGGCAATGAATAGATGAATAACAGCTTGATATAATCTTTTCCAATGTGCTTGAGAGCTCGGACCACCAAGCAGAATATTTTGTTCTGACTCAACGTATGAGGTACCCTGATGTGAGATGTCCTAGGTGCAAATATTGCGGTATATTAAGTCTCAGTGACTGTCAGAATGATCATTTTCTCATCATAAATAAATAAATCATCCACTGATGAAGTGTAATTCCTCTTGCAAGAGTAGAATTATGTGGCATGTACGGTGGCCATCCTGTGATGACGTAATCTTTTACATGAGCACAAGCTTTGTCAGACTTTTGTGGATCTCTAATTTTATTCTGTCACTGAGTTCCTGCTGGTAGAATCGCAGTTGCTCTTGATGTAAAAGATACAGCTCTTCAATGAAAAATACGTTTTGTAAGGTGTTGATAGAGAGATAAATATCTGCTGTTTTACTGAACATAATCTGTTTTTGCATCAAATCTCAATAGTCTCAGTTTGAATAGTTGTACTCCTGGATGCATGCTTGTTAATTCCTTACAATTTAAAAAGTGGTTTGTGGTAAGCTTGCAAGCTTTTTACATGCCTATGTAGCTGCAGAAGTTTCTATCACAGCATATATCTGTTCTGTCTCTGTTAGTAAATTGGATGGATAGGAAACTAGCCTACTTATTTCAGGCTTTTGTACCTGAAAAACACAGCCTCAAGTCTTGTGAAATATGCATCTGCAGCAAAAATAATAGGTAGTCCAAGCTCATAAAATCAGATGGTATCACCACCTCCTCAATTTTCTTTCAAAAAAATCTTGTGCTTCCTCCCGGAACCATGTACTATCCTGTTATAACAGCTGATACAATGATTCATTGATGATATCCAGGTTGGGCAAGAACTTTCCAACTTGGTTTACCATATCCATGAATGCTTGGGGCTCATTCATATTTCACTGAAATGGAAACTTCTTGATTGAATTTGTCTTCTGTTGATCAACCCTAACACCAGATGTCTCCACAATGTGCCCAAGAAACTTGACACGGTCAGCTGTATGAATTCACATTTGTGGTAGAATGTAGGTCCTGTTATCTGTAGGCATTACAGCAAAGCTCATACACTACAGTCATGCTCTGTCTGAATGGATCCATGGATCAGGACATCATCCATGTCACATATGACTCTAACCAGACCTCTAGGCTGCTAGACATTGTCCTCTGGAAGATTCCTGGTGCTGATGTGATAACAGGAGTGAAATAATTCCACGGAGTCAGGTATCCTGTCACCTAGTCATCCTTATTTACGTGGAGAGTCCTTCATACTGATCTAGCTCCCCCAGAGCCGGCTCTCAGAGTGAACAGGATGTCAGTCAGGGCTCTCTGATTGGGGCTGTTAATCTGTCCAATCAGGGAACTCATATTCTACAAGGACCACCTGGCTAACCTTGTTACAATCACTACATCCTGCCCCCTCTAAGTCCGAGGCCATAGTCTCTTTTTTTTCGAAGCTCCTCCTGGGGCATTTTAGCATTGGCTCAGGTTCCTCCAACTCTGCCTCTGATACA